GAGTTGTTGGTTATACCCTGATATTGGTCAGGATTCAGTGAGATGTCAAGACCACAGAATCCTCTGACGCAATCGCCCAAGCAATTTCTGTAATCTGTATGGTGGATTAGTAAATTTCATAACTGGTATTTGTTGAGGCAGTTTTGCTCTTGTCTCTCTCTTTGTTTTTAACTAAAACAAATCATCGCTATATTCACTCGTTTCCGCAACAGGTTTCATTACAGTGTTAGTGCAATATTTACGTCACATTCGACAACCTCAATTCTGATGTTATGATATTTTATTGATCCCTTTATTTGCGTTCAGTCAACTGCCCAGAAAATTCCTTTAGAGTTTAAATGACTCGATGCTTCCGCTCTAAACCCTTTGAATTTGAGAAAACACTATAAATGAAAGTGATCTCGACTTGATATTATAATTGAATTTTTCTTTGTTAACAGCCTTGACATTCTATCCATCCCCACAAAGCTTCTAGTACCACTTCAACTTGACAGTCAGTCTGTCTCTTCTGTAGTTGCAAAAGTAAATCCTTTAATCCACTAGCGCATACCGAGCGTGCAAACTACTCACAAATATGAGTAGTCCCCAAAATGTTAGTTTCAAATTTCCATATACAGTTTGCATATAACTCTGAATGCACTTGATTTGATCATCCCTGATGTGCATTCTTTTGTTTTTACTTTGGAAAAAGACCTTCGGACTATAATATCCACTTTTGATATGGTGAATGCTCCAGTTTCCGTGACTACAACTCGATAGATGTTACACTGTTGCAGATGTCTTGAACGTTCCTCGTAAATCTTTCGCAAATCGAAAACAGCTCACCCCTTGTATCCCCTAACGTTCCTCATCTCTCTGTAACTGTTTCTAGTATGTTTCAGAAAGCAACTCTGCCTCCCTTCCTTTTTATCTTTACATATTCCTATCCTACGTAGTTTTATGCATTGTAACAACGGATATCGTGTAGCTACTGGATCCCATAAACCTGTCCTTTAGCAATCGTTTCTCTCCTGAACTATATAGATAATCGCTGTAACTGTTCTGCACTACGCCCCTTGCAACCCGATGCACTGAAGCGTTCACTTATTCCTTATAAATTTTAATCTTTGTACCTTTACCGATACGTTTTTATCATATTTAATCTCTCGTTGATTATTGCTAAATTGTCTCTTAATGCGCATATCTCAAGTGGTTAGAAGTGGTTCCATCTCAGTCTTCCATGGTTCATATGTGTTAATTGTATCCTGTACGAATTGTCCTTTAGTACCTAAACACGGAAGGAAAACGTATTTTTCCTAATGTTTGACACGTTATCTGCGCTAGATCTCGTTGGCTATATTACCTCCAGCAAATTTACAGATTTGAGAGATAACTTCTGTAATATTTTTGTTAAGTTGTCCTGTTACCCAAATAAACTTAGGTACATATCTCGATTTCGATTTTGAGACATCATAGTTTTGCTGCCTTTATTGTTCACAAAAACTTTTGATGCATTCGATCCATTTACTGAATATTTGTTGACTAATGCGAACCATTGCTTGTCTTATTGGACACTCGAAGCTGTCTCCAGTCCCCGCGCACACTTCCAAATCAAAATACGCCTCATCCGTCCGCACACTGAAATATTAGGATGGCATAGCTCCTCATTTCTTGCACATTCTAGTTTACTGCACACTCATTATTAAAAATCGTTCAGCCAGCCTTTAACGTTGGTTTTTATCATTTCATTTTAGCCACTTCAACTGGCCGATAATGCTAAAAATTTACCGGATAAGGTAAAAGAAGTCATTTTTATTTTACTTGATTTGATACTGCTCTGGGCGTAAATCAACTGACCCTTTGGAAAATATTCGGTTTTCTGCGTGGAATATGATTTGTGTGAGTAGAGATTTCCGCTCCTGAAGTCATGGATTCACATGTTCAAAAAGCAAACGCACTGAGCTGAATACAGAATGATTAGATCCCTCAAAGGAGTTATAATTTATGTGTGGATGTGGCACACTAATAATCATCATATCAAAAGTCGATGATAGTGGTCTCGATTCAGAATTCATCAAAAACAACAACATGTGTTCCGCTTTTTTCCCATGAACTGGTGCAATGCAATAAAATCATCAATCCCACTGTATCCATGTATAACGTTATTATTCCCTTGGGATAGTCTGAAAAAATAATTCCCAGAGGACTACCTACCTTCCCGTTTTATAGAGCCAAGATGAATCCCAAACAGAGTTGACGTGCTCTCATTCAACGTTTCTTTAACATTTCAACGATTAAGTCACGAAATCAATGTGAATGCTAATTCAATGGAATCTCATGTGGGTAATGGAGGATTTGGTTAAGTTTCAAATGACAATTCGTCGTGTATATGGCAAATGAAGCGTGAACTGAAAAGCTCGGAAGCACTGGACAGCTGTTTCGACCTGGTTGGGTCTCATCAGCAGTGCGAATCCATCGACCCGACTGGGGATCGAACCCGGGACTTCATGGGCAGAACGCAAGCGTGCTACCCACTACGCCACCGGGCAGCTGATCAGACCGTTTTTCATTTTCCATTTACACGATATAGCACAACCCATCTTTGAGAGTTTGTTGCGGGCCACGGACCCTGCTCAACTCAGCACTAGCCTCCAGGGTTATGACTTGGTTGGAAACATTCACAACCTGACTGATTATTTCATGTGGGTAATGGAGGATTTGGTTAAGTTTCAAATGACAATTC